CATGTATCAACCAGTCATGCCAAGTTTCAGTCACATTTCCCTTCCCACCGCTAACTCCAAGTCTCACCTCTAACTCCAAGTCTCTCTCCTGGACACACATCTCCACCCACACTTGCTTCCTCCAGGGCTAGTTTGAGGCTCCCAGATCTGCCATGGGAGGACATGGGAGATCTGTTCATTCTTCTTCTTCCACTCCATGGTTTCTTCGTCTTCTGGCTTACTTGGGTTGGTAATGAAATATGGGAGAAAAGGGGTGAAGAGTTTGCAGGTTTGTCCATTAACTCAGCTGTTCTGCCAGTACAGGTGTCTGCTGCTTGACATTGGCTCACCATTGGTTCTCTCTATAGGGAGTGCTACAAAGCCGACACCTTCCATGATATGTAAGGCTCGGTCTCACAGCTCCTGCTCAAGGGGATCCCCACAGGCTGACCACTGATCAAGTTCTCACTGGGAAGCCTGTGCTTCTGGGACGATATCTTACAGACCACAAGGCTTCAAGTTCTGTGGCACCCATATGCCAAAAGGTTCATGAGATGGATTAACTCCATGCCTGCCAACTCAAGCTCTCCCCAACCTCTTACCTTCAAAGTCCTTCAATAGAAAAATAGAAGCTCCTGCAATTGCTTATTCAAATTTTGAGAGACACATGTCAAATTGTTTAAAGAAGTTTCTTAATGTACTGCAGTTCTGGGGCAGGATTCCCAGAGGCTACAAGTGTCTGAAGCTGAGCAAGCATCCAGCCATGAAGACAGCGATGCCCCCTTCTTCCATCACAAAATGCAGCCACAATGCCATCAGTTATAAACTCTCCACGTCGGTGTCTTCTTCAGAAGGTCTAGAATTCTCTTTGGGGTGTGTTTGTGAGAGAAGGGGAGGTGGATTGTAGCTGGGCGAAGTTCCAGGCAGGGCCGGATTGCTTAAGTGCACTGCTCTTTGCTGCTGTCTCTTCACTGCCGACTCTTCACTGCAGATACGCTACAACTTCAGTTTTCAGTTTGGGGACTTGGACAAAGCTCTAGCCAAGAAAATCAACATTAAATAACCCAAATCACTGCTTACAAAATGTTTGTGGAGCTTGGTTAGCAATTGCATGATCCATTTTACAGACATAGAATATGAGAGCTGAAGATCGTTAAATAATTAACTAAGGTATGCATTTAAGATTACAAACACTTTTGAAATTACGCAAAAACTTCAAATGATGTATTTTCTTGTCAAAAAAAAAAATCTGTGCAATTTCAGTTTACTTGACTTCTACTTGTAAATACATGTACAGTAATTTCAGACTAAAACAGCACCTAAATGACAGATGCTTTGCAGAACACATGATTAGACTCTGTTCACATATAAAAGGTTTTTTAATCCAAAAGATAAATTACAAGTGAAATTGTTTTTTGTTATTTATTTATTTACTTTTTGAAATGGCATCTTGCCCTGTTGCCAGGCTGGAACACAGTGGCACAGTCTCAGCTCACTGCAACCTCTGCCTCCCAGGTTCAAGTAATCCTTCCACTTCAGCCTCACGAGTAGCTGGGATTACATATGTGAGCCACCACGCCTGGCCATGAACTTGTTAGTAAGTTTTTCTGCCTCTCAGGTTTACATGGAGTTCTTCTTTATAACATTTCAATAAATTTAACTTCAAGGATATGGTAATATTTTAAAACCAAATAGCTACAATATTCTTAAAAAAATAAAAATGAAAGAATCGAACTATTTTGAAAGCTACTGTGAGCTCATTGGGATCATAGTGTAATCACTTTAATTCATGGTTCAAAAAGTGAACAAAACATGAACTCATAATTCCTTAATACTGACCTATGAAGCTCTGGCTGTGTTTACTTCCCAGGACTCGTTTGATGAATTTAGCTCACCTGAGTTCTGTACAATCAGGATAAGCGCAGAAATAAACAGTATTTATGGTCATTGAGGACAGAGCTAAAGTGTTCGCAGCAGAACTGTGTTCAAAAGAGACTTAGATGATAAAACAAGCGAGAATGTCTGAAATGAATTTTCAGAGAAAAGGAAGAAAAGATGAATGTTGAGAAGCTGTGGTGCAAAGCCAGACATGAAAATTGAATCAGGGCGAGCAAAAGTAAAGAGCAGCCACTCAGAGCAAGCGAGAGCACGGTGGGCCTGCAGGGCGTTGAAGGCAGCAGTGTTTCAATCCAGATTTTACACACCTCTGTTTACTATTTTCCTAGAGAGGCTTCCATATCCAAAAACGTGCAATGTAAAAGCCATCCCAGCTTGACTTTCACTAGCTGCTTTTCCTCCTGTTCACCCCCACTCACACGCTGACCGGGCGGAGGAGGCCACAGAAGACTGATGTTCTCTTCTCTGAAGGGGAGGTGGGACGGAAGACTCAGGGCTTGGGTGAATGCACCCCACATCTCTAAATCTGGGGAGTGATATGCTGAAAACAAAATTTATTTCTTCCTTGTTCCCCGGATGTCTGTAGCAGTGAAGCCAGTGCGTTCGCTGAGTAGACGCCCAGACTCAGGAGAGATCTGCTCAACACACATCCACTTCTCTTTTCATTAATGGTAGTTTGTATCTAATTTTTGCAGTAGAGCTTTGGGGGTTTTATTACTTTTTTATTTTCTGTGTTGAGTTTCGATTATATTTTAGTGAGAAGGTGGGTGCAGATACAGTGCGAACTACTAATGGAATACCATATACTGACTCCAATGCTTAACTGTGAAGAAATGAGCAACCTTAGCTTGACTACAAATTAATAACTTTAGGCATTATTTTATATAGTTACAAATGTACTGAACTTTAATGAAAATATTTCTAATATTGATGCACAATGCAAGATATTTTATTTAAATGCCGTCAAGACACCTCTGGGGTGCTAATAACATTTTCTGCGTATCTTTGGGGCCCTAAATCTCTTAATCAATACTAGTTTGTGGCTAACATGATGAATTCAGGACTAATTGTAGGGATGCAAATTATTAACATCAGACATTTATCCTAATTACGCAGTCAGTGTTCATTTTTGAGATGAGTAAATTAAAGATTAATTTCTGTGGTAGCAAAACAGCCAGCATGCTGTCGTACCTCTGATTCATGGTATGAATAGTGCAGACAGACAGTCACGTGAGTTTCTGTTCATTAAATATTTCCCATCAGTTATTTGGAGCAGTCTAACCATTCTGTGGACTCAATGTGTTAAAAAATATTGTGCATTTCAGGAAGGAAATATAATGTAGCATTCCTTCACCCAGGCAAAATATAAAGACATATACATGGTTCTCATTCCTTTCTTCATTTTCTCCCCCTGATGCCAGGCAGGTCTGGGCACTGGCAGTGCAACACTGCTCTTAGAGCATGGGCTAAGGCCTCGGCGGTCCAGGCCTGCAGGCTGGTTCTTTTAGGGATGTGACTTTGGGCAAGTGACTTAATCTTCCTGTGCCTAATTCCATCGATTATGAGGTGCTGATAAGAGCACTTACCACTCAGGGTTGTTGTGAGAATAAGGTGGGCCTATCTGGTTGGTTATTTAGACAGTGACTGGGGCATAGAGAGCAAGCTAGTGATGAGTTAACTACTCCTAGTACTACCAGGACCAGTACTATGGAAGTTAACCAAACCCTGGATGGAAGTAAGGAAGAGGAAGGAGAAAACACAGAAGTGAGAATGAAGCATTTCCAATGTGGATAAGCACAGAGAGGCAAGGAGGCATGGAGAGGGTGGAAGAGAGGACAGGAGAGGGCGAGAAAACCGCATGATCTGCCTCTCCAGCCTCCAGCCTCCTGGTAATGCAAGCTCGCCTCGCTGTCTACACAGCATCCCCAGCGGTTTTCAGTGTCCCCCAGACTGCAACGTCCATTGCAGAATGTGGCCCTTTTTGTTCCCTTTAACTGACATAGTCTTTTTCTCCTAATTACCATGTTCTATTTTCTTTTTCTTTTCTTTTTTTTTTTTTTTTTGAGACAGAATTTCGCTCTTTTTGCCCAGGCTGGAGTACAATGGCACGATCTTGACTCACCGCAACCTCCGCCTCCCGGGTTCAAGTGATTCTCCTGACTCAGCCTCTCGAGTGTCTGGGATTACAGTCATGTGCCACCACCCCTGGCTAATTTTGTATTTTTAGTAGAGACGGGGTTTCTCCCTTTTGGTTAGGCTGATCTCAAACTCCCGATCTCAAGTGATCTACCTGCCTCAGCCTCCCAAAGGGTTGGGGTTACAGGTGTGAGCCACCAAGCCTGGCCACCATGTTCTATTTTCTGATGTTCCTCAAAGTCAGCTCATCTGTGCCACTCTCTCTGACCCCACGTGTTACCTTAGAGTCCTCTTAGACATCTTCTCATATCTCTGATCTTCACTGCACTAATAAAATTTGTAGGCAAACATTGATTTGTTGAAGTGTATGAATGTTGTCTTCCACATGCTATCATTAATACATTTGGGCAGAGACTTCCTGACATCTCCCACAGTAGACATTCATAAAATATTTGTCAAAGAATGACTGATCCTAACTTCAAAGTCCAGATCAAATTTCATCTCCTTCAGAAGCATCTTTCTGGTCCTCCCTTGAGGTTTTATACCTTCTGACATTGAAACCCAGAAGCATTGCCTATGACGTCTGTTATAATTATTTGTTGCAAGGATGTTTCTGCCATCTGAGAGCATTGGCAATCCCAAAACAAGTTCCATTTTTTTTATTATCTTGTTTTTCAGCCAGTAATTTACATATACCTTTGCACTATGGGAGTATTTGTGTGTTGGACAAAAAAGTACTTGTGAAAATCCCTGAATCTCTTACAATTAAAAAAAAATAATAGTTTGCAATTATATTGCAGTGATTTTATAAAGATGTTGTTTAAGAAAATTTGTAATTTAGAAACTGCTTTTGAATGTCATGGAAGCTCTCTCTCCAAAAAGGGCTTGGGTTCAGGGTTCCTTCATAATGTGCTTTATATTGGGTTAAAATAAGATTCAAAAACTTGCTATCTAGATCTATCACTCTAGCACCACTCAGCTACTGAGTGATGAGGCAATATTGTTTTCACTACCTTAGCTTATCCCTCCACAGAACGCCGTGTCTCTCCCAAAGCCAGCGCACGCAGGTAGGAGTTATTTGCAAGTTCTCTTCTCCCTGTGGCAGAATTAGCCTGAAACAGCAGTTTACTGAGGAAGAAATATACAAAGACAGGGATAGCCAGATCACAGCCATTGAGCAGACTTTTGAGGATGCCCAGAAATCAATGTCCCAGCATTATAGCAAACCCAGAGTCACACTGGTGGAGGTCATGGCTGTCTTCCCAGATTTTAAGATGTGGATCAATCCATGTGCTCAGGTAATCTTTGACTCAGACCCAGCCCCCAGAGACACAACTGGCACAGCCGTGTTGGAGATGATGTCTCAGGCCATGATTAGGGGCATGATGGATGAAGAAGGGAACCAGTTTGTGGCCTATTTCCTGCCTGTAGAAGAGACGCTGAAGAAACGAAAGCGTGACCAGGAGGAGGAGATGGACTATGCACCAGATGATGTGTATGACTACAAAATTGCTAGGGAGTGCAACTGGAACGTGAAGAACAAAGCTAGCAAAGGCTATCAGGAAAACTACTTCTTTATTTTCCGAGAGGGTGACGGGGTTTACTACAATGAGTTGGAAACCAGGATCCGCCTTAGTAGGCGCAACGCCCTGCTTGTGATCAAACATGGGGACATGAACGAGAAGGAATTGGAAGCCCAGGAGGCACGGAAGGCCCAGCTAGAAAATCACGAACCAGAAGAGGAAGAGGAAGAGGAGATGGAGACAGAAGAGAAAGAAGCTGGGGGCTCAGATGAGGAGCAGGAGAAGGGCAGCAGCAGTGAGAAGGCAGGCAGTGAGGACGGGCGCTCGGGCAGCGAGAGTGACCGGGAGGAGGGTGACAGGGATGAGGCCACAAGAGTGGCAGTGGCGAGGGCGAGAGCAGCGAGGATGAGGCCCGGGCTGCCCGTGACAAAGACGAGATCTTGGCAGGGATGCTGATTCAGGGGATGCTGCCGACTCTGATGATGAGGACAGAGGACAGGCCCAAGGTGGCAGTGACAATGATTCGGACAGAGGCAGCGATGGGGGTGGCCAGCGGAGCCGCAGCCCCTTCCCCAGCGGCAGTGAGTGCTCGGCCCAGGAGGATGGCGGTGAAGCTGCAGCTTCTGGTTCCAGTGACGCTGATAGTGACAGTGACCGAGTCCCAGGGCATTCGGGGCTGTTTCAGACACCACTATTATGAGCAGGAAGGCACTTTCCTAGTGGTCTGTTTGTGAGCCTTTCACTTGTTTGCCCCCCACCCCCAAACCTTTGCTGTTAATAAAGCCAATTTCTCTTAAAAAAAAAAAAATCAGCATGCTCCTCCGTCTCCTCTCCTCACCTGTCCCTGCAGGCAGGTCTCCCTCACCTGCAGATCGCCTTAACATACAGGGAATAGCATGGTGGCAGTGACTCAGAGAGAGGGTTAACCACCTTTTTTGGTTTTGGCTGATGCCAGTCTTCTCCACAGGAAGATATTACAAGCATCATTTCACATATCTGAGTAAGGAAGCCAAAACTTTTGAAAAATATAAGCAAGATAAAAGTTTTTGGATAAGAGGGTGAAATGATGCTGGTGAGTTCATGTCCTGAGTTCAGGGATCAATCATTCCTTGTCTTTGTCAAAACCCTGAGGTTTAACTGAACAGCACCTTACACATAATAGGCACATGATAAATAGCTATTGAATCAATAGCGGAGTAGTGAGCAACTGCCTAACACACACAGAAATGTGGCCAGTGCTTACATAATACTACCTGAGTGGATATTTGAGTGGATGGACAATGATATTTTCAAACAGAGCTAGTGAGGGGAAATTGTCCTGCCTCAGTTTCCTGAGTAGCCAAGATTATAGGCATGCACCAACATGCCCAGCTAATTTTTGTATTTTTTTTAGAAGAGATGGAGTTGCACCATGTTGGCCAGGCTGGTTTTGAACTCCTGACCTTGTGATCCGCCCACCTTGGCATCCCAAAGTGTTGGGATTACAGGGGTAAACCACCATGCCTGACGACCACACTGTATTTCTCTATTTTCATATTTTCAAGCAAACGTACCACCCATTCCTTAGTAGTCCTACTGCTCCACGGTATACATGCATGCATTTCACTTACCGATTTGTCAGAGATGGATACCCAGTGTTGCTTCAATTTCCTGAGAGTATGTGCAAGTTGCAATAAGCACCCTCAACCTGTTTATTTGCAAACATGCATAAGCATTACCAGGTCATAGCTGTGCGTGATCAGTTTCAATATAAAGTGCCAATAGCTCTTTAGAATGTCCACTGCAGACTGTGCCCCAGCAACAATGCACGAGGGCTCCTGGGTTCCATGTCTCGGCCCTCACTAGTCATTGGCCCATTCTCTAACTTTTGCCAGCCAAACAAATGTACAATTGTATGTCGATGTGTGAGTGTGATATGTGTTGTTCTATTTGGTCTCTTCCTGACTCTTTGATTGTTTACTTCTCTTGATATGATTACTAACCTTTCAAGGCTTTTCTTTTTTTGTAAATTTCCTATTTATAATATTTGTTTGTTTTTCTACTGGGATGCTGAGTTTTCTCCCTGATTTTCAGGAAATAGTTGGATAATGTAAATATTCAGGCCATGTCAATTTTAGGCATGGCAATTTGTCTCTTCCCTGTGGTCATTAACTCTGGACATTGTGTTACTTTCTAAAAACAAATGCTTAATTTTTACATAATCTCATACATAACTTTTCTATTTTCTATTTATGCTTCAGATTTTAAGAACTCTCTTACACTGCTGTATCTAAAAACAGCCTCCTTCAATTAACTTTAAATCAACCAATAATGAATTTTCTTCAACTTTGTTATTTCTTTGTCGCCTTCAATATTTAATATTTCCAGAATTTATCTGTATATATGAAGTTATACGATAATCAAGTGTTGTTTTTCTTTCAATAGAATGGTATTTTTTCATTCCATTTACTAAACAGTTTTTTTTTTTTTTTTTTTTTTTTTTTTTTTTTTTTTTTTTTTCCCTGAGACAGATTCTTCCTCTGTAGCCCAGGCTGGAGTTTAGTGGCACCATCTTTGCTCACTGCAACTTCTCCCTCCCGGAGTCAAGAGATTCTCCTGCTTCAGCCTCCCGAGTAATTGGGATTACAGGTGTGTGCCATCATACCTAGCTAATTTTGCGTTTTTAGTAGAGACAGGATTTCACCATTTTGGCTAGGCTGGTCTCAAACTCCTGCCCTCAGGTGATCCAGCTGCCTTGGCCTCCCAAAGTGCTGGGAGCACAGGCGTGAGACACTGCACCTGGATAACAGTCTGTGGATGATCACCAATTTTTATATACTTTTTCTTTTGAACACAAGTGTATGATAAAAACACTTGAAAGGAGTATTCAAAAACTGATTTTGAATATCTGGTTAAAGCTTTGGGTATGGTTATTTTCCTACATTGAAATGCAAAGGTGGTAAACTCACAGAAGAAAGTGATGATGTTCACAGAACATCAACACATGAGGGATTGTAGCCTGTCTCTGGGTGAAAGAAAGCAGATGGGAGGCCATTTCCTGGTGAAGTAGTATGAGAAATTGTAGTTCAGGAAACAATCTTCCAGTTGGAACCTATGAGAGGATCAGGAGGTATATTTGGAGGTATGAAGTTTAAGGAAAAGATATCTTCCAAAATGATGAAGGGTCCGTTGAAAAACTGAAGAAAGAAACTTTAAACCAATTGTTCTCAAACAGAACAAGTAAAGAATGTCAAAAATAAAAGTAATGAATGAAAACGACCACAAAGAAAGAGGTCTCTTTTAAAAAAAATCTGAATGTAATCTTGGGAATAATAAGTGTTGTCAGAAGTACCCATATCTACAACAGAGACTTACTTCCTAAATCTGGAAATAAGGAACCCTCAGGCTAGTGGCTCCTTTTGTACCCAAAACTGGCCTAAAAATGAAAAACACAGCTCTCATGCTTATCACAGCAGTCATTCACATTTCCCAGGAAAAGAAAGAAGGATTTTGTTTTGCTTTATTCATACAGACAATAAGGAAATCCCAAGGAGAAAGCAAGAGTGATCATCGGTCTTCTAAATGGTAAATAGGCAATCAAGATTCACCAGTACTTACGGAATGAAAATGAAAATCCAACATAGACAAAGGAAGACTTGATCTAAATGAATTTAGAGATCAAAATAAAATTTTTAAATATATTATTACCTTCCTCAGAGTTTCAAATAGAGTTTAAACAAGAAATTTGTTTCAATGTTGTTACTAACAAAATAAGCAGAGAACAAGAAAGAGTCATTAGACAGTTGAACAGGCAATTAGCAAATAAAACTTCAATGTGCAAGTTGGACCATAAAGTTAAAACAAACCTTCAAGAATATAGAGCAAATAGACAAAGAAATGAAAATACAATGGAAAACAAACAAACAAAAAGAGAACCAGAGACTCAGCCATCAGGGATATTCAACATCAACACTGGGAATTTCCTAGGAAAGAGCATGAAAGATGAACGAGGGAAAATGTTCAAGTAAAGAACACAGAAAATTGCCAGAACTTAAAAAGATGTTTTTTTTCCTTATAGCAAATGTTTGTAATGAGAAATAATAGGATTAAAGGGGAAAAAAAGCCCATCACTGGATGTGTTCCTGTGAAATGTCAGAACATCAAGGATAAAGATTATTCTAAATCCATTAACAACATAAAAGAAAACCTATTATACCTCTCATAGAATCTAAGAGGAAATAATAACCCGTCTGTCATAAGTGACCCTGGGTACAAGAAGACAATAAGCTGAAGCCTTTCAGGTTCTGAGGAAATATTATTTTGAACTTAGACTTCTAAACACAGCCAAACCATCTATCAAGTGTTAGACAAGTTTTATATACACATATATGCATATATTATCTATATGTTTCTATTATGCTTAAAATATTTTCCATGTGAAAGGGCCATTGGAAGTCTACCATCAAAGCTGTGCAGAATCAGATGACACTTCATTCAGTTAGGACTAAAAGGACAAGGTGCTGTGGAATGGTGTCTTTTGGGAAAAAGTAACGCAAGCAATAGCTATTATAATTTTAATAAATGTAAGGATATAAGAAAAACTTCATGTTTTTTGTCCCCCCCAAAAAATAAAGGCAAATAGAAATGACAATTATATAGAAAGCTCTATCAGTAATTCAAGGTCCAAATCTAAAACTTAGAAGTACTTGAAATATCCAAGTAATTAAACCTGAATCTTTAACCAGATATCTTGAATCAAATTCTGTGTATGCCTTTTCTAGTGTTTTTGTATGTTATTCATGTTAGTAAGAAAATATGTAGCATTATATTTAGGATTTTAAAAAGTACAAAAAAAATTTATTTGTTCAAGATCCACCAAAAACATCTTCCTTAAAGTGGCATGATTGGCATTGAAACTTAAAGGGAAGTAATGTGATCCTATGCCAAGTGGCTCTGTAGAAAACACTATTGTTCTGGTTACAATAACTTAAGTGCTATTTATGCGATTTTCATGTTTAGTGTTAACTTTTGGGAAAATCCAAAGATTTAGCTGTGGCAGAAAATGGAAATGTGATAAAATAGAAAAAATATATAAATTTGTAACTGGCCAAATTTGGACAATTGAAAACAGAAATAGTACAAGAAAGGGAAAATTGACAAATACTCTCAGTGTACACGGTGAGTAATACAGCCTCAACTGAGGCAATACATGGACAGTGTTTAGGTAGATTGTTTGTTAACATGATAATATTATGTAAATCCACAAAATAAGCTAATTGAGTATCTAAAATTAATAACTATCAAAAATATACAAGAAGAGAACTATGGAGAAATAAATAAAGCTACTTATATATTTGACTTTGATAGATGTGAGGCAGTATATTCTAAGTATGATGAAAGCACAGTGAATTAAAACTCAATTTACCTGCATGCTTTAATATTGGAAGGGTAGAAAGAAACAGCAATTGAGAGAGGGAAAGAGAGAGAGGGAGAGGTTATTGAAGGGATATTTCATCTAAAGTGTATGCTACCAGCTAGAAAATGTTGTTGAGTTATAAGAGGGAGAGAAAAAGAATGACTAAAAAAAAATTTTATTAACTTGGTTACTACTTCATAATGTGTTTATTTTGTAATTAATATGTAGCCCTTAAATAGCTAGACTTCGCTCTTTTTCTCAAAAGACACTCTTTCAAGCTCTCCCTTTTTCCCATAGAGCCATTG